AGAGAGAGAGAGAGAGAGAGAGAGAGAGAGAGAGAGAGAGAGAGAGAGAGAGAGAGAGAGAGAGAGAGAGCAGTCATGGTTGAATGTCAATGAATGTTCAGTCGGGTTTGTCATATATGCCAACAGGTATGTCTTGCTCAGACGGTCCCCCAAAAAGCAATTCAAGGTTACACGCGTACGGGACCTTCTTTTTTTATCTGCACAGATCCGAACCGACCGGTCATCCAGGTCCGGATTGGTCTGGTGTCTGGGTCCACGGTAGCCATGAATTCAGAACATAAACTGATAGTCATAAATTTCCCATTGCAATACCCTGGTGTGGCAGTGACGATCAGAACTATTCTAATTTCAAACCAATAATTCATTTCGCACCCTGAAATTAGGGGGTCCCAGGAATAGATCGAGCCTTGTCTTTTCTTTTCTTTTCTTTTCTTTTCTTTTCTTTTTTTTTTTTTTTTTTTTTTTTTTTTTTTTTTTTTTTTTTTTTTCTTTTTTTTTTTTTTTTTGACAAACACACCCCCGCCAGTGTTAGAGGTGCTGATAAGAGCAGACACCACTAACACCTGGGGAGAGGCTCCATCTATTGGTGGGGAGCATCACCTGCTGGGAAACGGGCCCAGCGTCCCATATACAGAGTGGATTTGCAGCATGTCAGAGCCAGAAACATTGTGGAAGAGTCCTGCCAGCATTGATTACCCTGGCATCCAGGGGATTGACTGAGCAGGAGGTAGGGGAGGGGGGGAACCACTACACCTTGAAACCGGCGCTAGATACCTACTGTAATGTAACTCTCTAGTTCCTCCCTTCCCCCACCCAGTTTGAAATGTCACTTGCCACCGCTGGAAACCGGGTCCAGCGTCCCATTTATACATCCTGTAGCACTTTTTTAATAAAACCTGAGCTTCCGCCAGCATTGATTACCCTGGGTTCCAGGGGCCGCCTCTTCAGTCAGCCTTATCCGGTTCCTGTTCCTGTCCAATCAGTCAGCACCGTACCATTGCATATCCACCATCGCCAGCTGGTGGGGCGGGAAGGGGTCGGGGAAGTCTGTGGCAGGGCGCAACGGAATCTCCTGGCCCATACCAGTCCAGTCTCTGAAACGGATGCAGTAGTCTCGTCTGAGTTCCTCCTGGCCGTTTTCGTGGGCGGGCTTGCCCTCCCATCTGATAAATGCGATCCAGCCCCCGTTCTCGCTACCCAACCAGTCCTCAGAAAATTGGCGAATTGCTTGCGTAATATCCTTTGCTGAGTGATATAGATCCAGTTGGATTTGCGTTTTTTGCCAATGTACCATGATTTCTTGTTGAATGTATTGTCTTATCATGTCTGTTGCCTCTTCCCCAGTTATGCGGACCCCCTCCATTACATGTATACAGCGTTTCCTCCAGAGGGTCCACATGACCGCTCTCCTTCCTAGTTGAACATGTTGTTTTCAAAGGTACTGTCAGCAGGGGAGGACCATGTCTCGCATAATATAGCCCGCCAATCCCATGGCCAGTGAGAATGAGTGCCCAACTGGGTCCAGATCCTATCCCACCATCGCCATGTGAGCCCCGCCCATGGGCACTGCATGAATATGTGCTCTATAGTTTCAGGGATTCTGCGGGAGGGAAAGGCGGTGTGACACGACTTGCACCATGGTAGTGCCTGCCCCTTTTGCTCTAGGTATGTGCGGTCTATCAGCCAGTCATTGGTGGGCTGGCAGCGGTGTTCTATCTGCCACTGAAGAAAGGCCATCTTTGCGGGTCTAGAGTTTGTGGCGGTGAACCATCAGATCAGGCGGATTGCCTCAGTTCCTACCTTCAAGTGTGACCTCCATCGAGCCTTTACTACATCTTTTATGTTCACTTTTGGTCGGAGCAGACGGTAGGTGGCTTTCACTGATAAAGTGTGCAGTGTTAGGTTCGGTCCTGACTTGGGTTTCCGCGCAGGGACCCACTGCCAATCGTCAGGGGCCAGGGGCAGGTCCGTCACGGGAGTGCTTGGCCTGTATGCAATCCACTCATCTTTATCCCGTAATACTCGTATCCTGTGCAGGTCTGCAGTTTTCCACCACCTGGCCACATCAGGGCAGTACCGAGTGAGCTATTCTCCTTGCCTAGGTGGAAGAGGTTTACCAGCGCTTCATCTGTTCTTGCCTCCACTACATTGCCCACACTTTCTGGATCCTCTGGGGCAGCGACCCAATCTCCTTCCATCAGCCGTGGCCCTTTGCACAGGATGCGCACCCAGTCTAGGGGGACTGCGGAGGTCACCGAGTTGGCATTCGCCTCAATATTGTGACAATAGTGCTATGATGCAAGTTGAGAAAGGTGTTACCAGACTTCCCACCGTGGACATAAATTCCGATCTATCTTATGGGTTATTGGGTGCATACATGTTGATGATTCTAACTTCCTCTTCTTTCCATTTAAGATCCATCATGCACCATCTCCCTGTTTCATTGTCAGCGTCCATTCCTTGAACTGTGCCTGTTGTGAAGAAGCGTGAGGATTTGGGTATTAGAATAGGCGTGCCTTTCGTGCTTGAGTTGTTGTCTGAGGCCCAAATTTCGTCTTTAATTCCTCCTAGTTTTCTTCTGAAGAATTTCTTGATTTTTTAATGATCCTCTGAACTAGTTAGGTGTGTTTCTTGCAAGAGGATTATGTCTACTGGTTTCCCTGTGCAGTCCCTCAAGCCTCCAATTATGTCATTTAGTTTGTCTTCCTTTGAGATTATGTTTCCCAAGCCATTAACGTTCCAGCTCCGGATAATGATGCCTTGATTTTTCCAGTTGACCTTTGCGCCCTTCTTGTTGGCTTCTCTTCTCAGCACGTCCATGAGCTAGACTGTCAGACACGTCTAGAAGGAAGCATGAAGCTAAGTCTAAGAGGCGCCTAACACTCCAGTCTCCATATTCTTCTTCTTCTTCTTCTTCTTCTTCTTCTTCTTCTTCTTCTTCTTCTTCTTCTTCTTCTTCTTCGTCTTCTTCTTCTTTCCTTTGTCTCAGTCCACAAGTTCTTAAGTTATGATGAACGTCATTGTCTCAAAGCATCATGAATCAGAAAGGGTCATAACAATCTCGTGGTGAATAAACAATTCACCGAGAGGTTGCCAGAGGGAATAAGTTGAAAGTAGCCATGAATTTGTCTTGCACCAGGGCTGGGCTGGCCACCAGCCGGTTGAGCCGGCTCGGTCCAACTGGGGCCAGACCGGCCAAGGTGGGGTCAACTGGCAAACCGGATGGCCCAAAAAAATGGCCTTTTTTTTTTTGGCGGGATCCGACTTCGCTTGCCGAGATCTGTCGGATTCCGCAATAAAACTTTGAATGTTGGAATTTTTTT